GGGGGACCCACTCCTTCTTTTGTAAAGGGTCACATCACCGGCTCCTTTTGGACGGGCCTGCCCCCGGGTGGTGACCCCTTCGTTCATCATGGTGTCACCCACACAGAGGACAAGCATGAGTTAGAGCCTACTCCCTCTCCCTTTTCTCTCCTTTCTTTCTCCTTGCCTTCCCGCTCATTCCTCTGTTCTAGCCTGACCATCCTTTCCTTCTTATCCATAGATATGAGCTGACCTGAGGCGAGGCGGAGGTCAAACGCTGAACTTCAACAGATGGAGGAAGTGATATTTGGATGGAATGGCACCATTCCCTCACTGACTTCAGTAAATTGAAGCTTAATTGACTTCAGCATCCTTAAGTCCCCAGTCAGCGAAGCAGGCCATCCGTCTGACTAGCCAAGCGTGCGTGAGTATGAGAACTTCCCGATGTCCAAGAGAAGTACGGGGGTCCGGAGCTGATTGTCCAAACGCAATTCTTGCGTCTGCCTTTGTGAAACCAGGAGTTGTGCATGGACATCACGCCCCTGACCTCTGAAAATCAGCGAGGGCACAGACCACCGTGGTCGGGATACAACGCAGTGGCTTTGTGGGTGCATAAGTGAGAGACACTGAAAGACAAACAGAAAGAGGGAGAAAGCGAGGGAGATATTGAATAAGGGAGAGTGTGTGTTTATGTAAATGTAAAGCCTGTGAGAGACTCTGTTGACATTTCTGGAGGTCAGCTCTAGTTTTGTTTCAAGTTGGGCTTGCAAAATCTTTTGGCTCAAAGCTTTAACTTGTAACAGAACAACAAGATGCAACCAGTCATTTCTGCTCTTCAGGTGTGTAGGAAAAACATGAGAAAACATTTATTTGACAGAGCCTTCCTGATTAAGACAGGCTGGTGAACAATAATTATCATCATCACTAGTTTGAAAAGTTATTAGAGCACAGAGACAACAGGTGGACAGCAGGACAGCAGCCAAGTAGGAAGAGGAAGCAATTTATTATTCACACAAGACTCCACATACTTCATGGCAAACACTGTCCTCCATAATTCAAAACAATATTGTAAACTTCTATTTTGTACAGTTTCAACAGGGATGTATAGGCTGGGGTTGAGATTAACGTATTGCTTTCAGGTTTAGGGTTAGGGTTAGAAGAGAAGAGAAATATCTTAAGTGCAGATGGAATTTTTTCAAAAATATTACTTTTTTCTGTTCAGGCGCAAAGCTAGACACTCATATATTCCATGACTCTGAAGATTTGGTGTTTCCCATTTTGGAGATTTTGGAGATAGGGGTTGGAGTCTGTTGAAGGAGCAGAAAGTGCTGCTCTCTCCGTGTTAAAAACAGTTGAATGTGTCCGGTTTGCTCTTCAGCACCGGCGTCTGGGGTCTTGCTAAATTCGCAGTGGTAGGGGTGAGAGTGATAGAAAAGGAGAGTGAACGAGGAGAGGGAGGTGTGTGTGCGTATGTGTGTGTACTTACCCTCTCTGTGTTTGCCCCTGTGAATTTGCCTCTATGTGTTTTATCCTGTGTTTGACAAAGTTCAGGGGGCCAGACTTGGAGAGAGAAAAGGGAAAATGAGAGAAAGTAAAGGCTTTGAATGAGGTGGTGTGAGAAAGAGGGAGAGAGACGGTGAGCAGGATGAAAAAAAAGGCAAAGATCTGACGGGGGAGAGAGAGAGAGAGAGAGAGGAGGACAAGAGGACATTTTTTGGAGGGAAAGAGAAGACCAGGCACCTTGACATTTGTGTGGTGAAATAGTCCGTTGCTTCACAGCACGAGAGGCGTAAATTGGTGATATTTATAGATTGAAGCTGCAGGAAGCGACAACTCATTCGGGGAAATATGTATAGAGAAAGAGAAAGAGCTATAGGGAGGGAGAGAGCGGGAGAGAGCGGGAGAGAGAGGGAGGGAGGGAGATCAAGAGGGAGGCTGCATTAATATGCTAATGTCCTGAGTGAATGCACAACAGGCCCACTGACCAGGCTAATCACTGGTGGACACACACTGAGGCTAATCCCTCACGCAGCACTCACACCAACACACACATGGTCACACACATGCAGGAACAGACAGTGTAAGTTCAAATATTTGGACGGTGACATATTTTTTGTTGCTCTGTCTCAGCTCATTGGATTTAAAATGAAAAGCTGACTTTTTTTTTAATTGTATGGTGTTTATTTCCATGTTGGTAGAATGGTGTGTTAGTGATTCAGAAAGAAACTTACTGCGAAGGATTTGTGAATGCTATATTAATTAAATATTTTATTTTATTTCAAGGAAAGCCGAGCCAAAATATACCAAATTCACTGCCACACCAAATACGAGGGAGAAGACCACATTTTTATTTACACTATTGCAACATCCATGTCTCCCAACTGTCGCTTTCATGTGTCTCTTATCTTATGTAGCCGACTCTCTCCCTCTGTGTGTTTGTGTGTGTGTGTGTGTGTGTGTGTGTGTGTGTGTGTGGTGTGTGTGTGTGTGTGTGTGTGTGTGTGTGTGTGTGTGTGTGTGTGTGTGCGTGCGTGCGTGTGTGTGTGTGTCATCATTCATATTGCTCTCCTATTACAGGTGAAAATGCAGAGGATTACTTGATAATAAAAATGCAATTTCAAACGCAGTTGTGATTGTCTGTGCTTCTTCTTCTTGAGCCAATTGCCAGAAAAGTAATTATTCTCTTGAAAAGTTAGCAGGACAAAAACCCTTAACAAATTACAAACGCTAGTAAGAAATAAGGGTTGTATTGTTTTACTTGTCTGCTTCATCTATGTGACTTCAAAAATACATTTGCTAGTTAAAGGTAGGGTAGGTAAGTTTGAGAAACCGGCTCGAGATACACATTTTGTTATATTCCATGGAATGCTCTTAACATCCCGATAGCAATGAATATCTTAAGTGCTTTGACAAAAAATCCATAAAAAAATGTCATCTGTGGAAGCCGTAATACTGTAAAAAGTACGACCAATCATTTTAGCCGGCCCGGCTAAAATAACTGGATGGCCTACCTGCCTGTCAGCCTTCCATCTGTGCACAAACTTATCTCGTGCCCTCATTGGTCATGTGCGCGTTCGTGTGTGTTGGAGGAGGGGCTCTATAAGGAAGTGGCAGATTTTCTCCGGTTGTGTATTTTCAAATTCTAGCGATCTCGAGCCGGTTTCTCAAACTTACCTACCCTACCTTTAAGTGTGATCATTATATATACTTATCCATTACTTTGTCTGAATCAACTTAATAATATCAAGGAAAATATCTTTCGGCACAGTGTATTCACAGGTGTATACAACTTTAATTTTGTAAATGGGTAGAATGTAATGTGATATGTATGTTATAAAACACTTCCAGAAAAAAAAGGGTCCAGCACTTTGTGTAATGCTATTTTAGCCCCCTCGATGGCGATCAAGCATGATAAATGGCTGGAGCCTAAAAGCACAGCTGCAGCTTTCAAGCACAACAGTTTTAACAGTTTAAACAACTCCCTAATCAAGCACATGTTTTTAATTATTCATATTTGCCATTTTTGAAAAAAGGCAGGGAAAACATGTGTAGGCTACAGATGGGGTGATGCAAAACAAACTTAATAAATAATTGTATTTTTATAATTAAAGGTGGGGTAGGTAATTTTGGAGAAACCAGCTCGAGTGCGCTAGAATTTGAAAATACACAACTGGAAAAAATCTGCCACTTCCTTACAGAGCCCCTCCTCCAACACACACGACCAACATGACCAATGAGGGCACGAGATAAGTTTGTGCACAGATGGAAGGCTGACAGGCAGGTAGGCCATCCAGTTATTTTAGCCGGGCCAGCTAAAATGATTGGTCGTGCTTTTTACAGTACTACGGCTTCCACAGATGAAATGTTTTAATGGATTTTTTGTCAAAGCACTTAAGATATTCATTGCTATCGGGATGTTAAGAGCATTCCATGGAATATAACAAAAAGTGTATCTCGAGGCGGTTTCTCAAACTTACCTACCCCACCTTTAATGATTATTACAAAAAAACACTTGTAACTATGCTATGCCTATGGCCAAACATGATTTTAGGACTATTTATTGTCACAGTAATTTGTGCTACCCTTCCAGCATCCTAAAAGGAAAACATTTCATCCATGCATTTCCTTTTTTTTTTTTTGGAGACACTTAAAAGTGATGCTACATTTTACATATCTTACATAACCATCTTTACCTGAAGGATTTGCTTGACATTGCATTTAAAAAACGCTGTCCAATTAGCTAGTGAAAACAGTTAGATCAAATGTATATATATATGAATATGTTGCCACAATATAGGTGTAGGCCTACTGTTATTTGGATGGTGAGGATATACATGTTTTATAATGTTTAAATTTATGTCTTCTGGATACGAGACAAAATATTTTGTATATATACATATATCTATGTTAACAATTAAAAACTGTTACAAAAAAGCCAGAATTTAATTTATAAAGCACTTTAAACAAACAGACATTTGCGTTTTACACCCAGTCACACAGAAAATATAAATTGATAAAGTTAAAGGTAGAGTTGAGGTAAACCTACATATCGATATGTGAATTTATTGAAAATCCAATGTCTTCCAATATCTGTCTTTTCCTCTTTTTTTATTAGTCTGCGACTTATGCTTTTACAAAGGTTTCCGCAGCTTCCAGTCATCATCAGTCTGTATGTCTGCCGCTCCTTCAAGTATAAGATGAGCAGATATCATTCTCTATTTGAACACTGATAATACAAATGTGATTTATCATACTTGTTTGTTTTCCATTACATCAGGTTTACCAATGTCCTCCAATAACCTTTTGAGCAAATGACACACTCACTGAGCTGAACTTGTCTTGACCTGTTGACCTCTTGCTCTCGATGAGTCTCCCTCACTGACATGTGAGACACACACATCCCTTCTTCTGCCTTTAAGCAACCCGGGCTGCAGTGTTTTGCAGTGATTTAGAGCCAATGTTAAACTGTTCGAGAGCACTAAGCCAAATCCTCCACCATCATCATGTTTTCATCCTTGCAGGGGGAGGGAGGGTTGACTACGAGGCAAAGTGGGGGGAGAAACAGACACACACGGGGCCTAGCCGTCACATATTTTCATACGAAGAAGCTGTGCCGCTAAACCGTCAGTAATCCGTATTTATTTGCCGTCAAAATATCTTGCAACATGTAGCTAGGTTATGTTTAGGGAAATGAGACATAGGTGGAGCAACCAGTTCTAAAATGGTCTGTTCTTGGCACTCTAATCTCCTCCAGAGCTAACTAGCTCGCTAGCTAGGTTAGGAGGCTAAACGTAGCTAGCTATAGCACTTAGCTTGTTTGCCAGCTTACACCAGAAATAGCATTAATTCAACAAAATGTAACTTTAACGACACGTTTGCCGTGAACACCATGTCGCAATATGGTATAATTGTGAATTGTGTATTCAAAGAAGATAGCTAAGTTAAGTTACGTAGCTTTACGGTTGGCCCATCTAAGTGTTAGCTAGTCTATGAGCTATATAGTGGCTAACGTTAGCTTGCAAGAACCGTGGTTTGTTGCTTTCTGTCTGGGCTCCATCTAGATCATATAATGGGACGTTTTCCTCACTGCGTGGAACATATTTGTAATAGATAGTCTCTGCTGTTATTATAATGTTTACTATTTTATTTTAAACATAGTGTATTTGTTAGCCATGAGTTTAGCAGACTACTGCTGTAACGTCACATCTAATGCCAAAAAATGGATGAAATACAGAAGCACTTAAATTGACAAGCATATAGCTCATATCCTTGCAATGGCATGACTCATGAGGGATAGAATATTTGTCGAACAATGTTAAGGCAAAATTGGCATTCTCTGTGCCACATCATTGTCTCATGCGCAGCTCTCTCATGTGTTGGAATTTCAGACCCGTTTTTGGTTTCCCAAAACAACTCCGGCCCGGGCCTCAGTCCGCGGTCTAGAGTTTGATAGCAGGCTGTTTGAGACGCAAAGCACCTTGGTGTGCAGCTGCCAACAAGTCCCTTTGATCCAGCCACCATCATGGGAGACAGTAGAGGTGAGAAAATAACAGCACTCATTTTTGTTATCAGCTATGCAACAACGTGAATGTAAACAAAAATGCCCATGTTTAACTAATGTTGAATTCTAGCTATTACTTTACTGATTATACTTACACATATCTCATAACTGTTGTTAAACTAGACATATGGAAATGGTGGGTAATTTTGTGGCACATATGACATCCCACCATTTATCTAAACAAAGCAAAGTGCATTTGAATAACTTGATTATTTGAAATGCCATCTTAATGTAACTTGCTTTCAATGTGATGTCTGGTTTAATTTCACTGATGGGTCTAGTTTTAATTTACCCTTGATCCTAAACACCTTACAGTGACATTGCATCAGGAAAGTAATGTAACAACATGAAAGTGTTGGTGTCATTCTTGCCACACATTGGTTTCCCACCCATCTTGCCATGCACCTTGACTTCAAAAATACATTTAAAAAAAAAAAAACAATGGAAAGAAATGTCATGTTTAAACCACAATTCCTTGTGTCATTTGAGTTGATAAGTATTTACATGGCCGTTACTGTCAGTCATTTGTTTTAAGGAAGAAAAATAGATAACATCAGACAACAACCAAGTGCACAGCCTGAAGCAGTAAAAATACAGTAGACAGCCAGATGCAGAGAAAAGCCAAACACAATACTAACCACCACAGCATAAATGAAAACAAATAAATAAAACGTTTACAGTCAAACAAGTCTTGTGTAAAACTTAAATGAACAACTTTCCTTTGATTGCAGACTCAGGCGCTGACTAGAAACAGATGGTACATCTGAAATGTAGAGAATAATTAATCAACCAAATATTGCCCTTTGTTGTCCATTGCAGTTTTATTACCCAACAAACTATTGAATCTTCACACCAAAGCAGCTTATTGGACAATGAGGAGGTTAAACTGATGTTTAGGAAAGGGCTGTCATTAGCATCATTAGAGGTCACATAAAAGACAGTACTGCCATTGAGTTTCCATTGACAACTAGCTATCAATTACATTGTTCTCATAAAACCAAAAAATACCCCAAACTTCCAAAAAATAATTCCTAACCTCACTGGAAACATTACCTCATGACCCCATATGGACCTAAAGCCAACAGTTTTTTGTAATTTCTTAATTGAAGTGAAATATTTCAAAAGGCAAGTATGCTTTGTAGTTGAAGAAATAGTTTTTACTAGGGATAGATCGTTATATATACAAATTATTGGTTGTATATAAGCTTTAATTTGTGTAATCCCATTATTATTATTATATCTCTATCTCTAATCTATAGCTTTAACCTTTTCTGCACCAAATTATTTGTATTAAATTATACTATATTTCAAACACAAAAATCCTTATAATTTATGAATGAGATATTAATGATTGGATTTTCTATTTGCATATTCTCCCTTTTGCCATCTCTTTATAGACTCCCGTAGCCCAGACAGTTCGTCTGTGTCCTCCCCTCCCTCAGGCCAGCGCTCGCCCCCGCTGGTTCCCTCATCCGCAGCTTCCATGACCTCCCTTCCTCCCATCAGCACCTCTGGGGTCGACAGCCCCATCAGTAGCATCGGCTCCCCCTTTTCTGTCATCAGCTCTTCATTGGGCTCCCCCTGCCTACCTGGCACGCCATCAATAGGCTACGGCCCCATCAGCAGCCCACAGGTAAGAGAGGACTGTTGGAGGATATTAGTTAAACATACATACATGCAGTTGTTTTCCTGTTCCATTATAGACATCATCATAGAAATGTGTCTACCAGAGGCCTGTACTACGAAGCTGGATTTTCGCTTAGCGAGGTAACTTCAGGGTTAACTCTGGGTTTCCGGTCCTACGACGCTGGTTCATTTCTTACCGGGGTAGATCTCCATGGTAACTTATGCTGAATGGCAAACCTGCTCCGGACCAGGATAAGAGATCAACTCAGTGAAAGCACCGCCTGCTGACCAATCAGAGCTCAGTGTGCGGAGTTTAAAGCGATCAAGTCATATTACAGGATAAAGGAAATACAGAAAAACTGCTGTTGCAGGAAAGACGGCCAGCAAAACTCAACTGACTGTGTGAACGTGAAAATTAATAGAATATCCCCTCCCATCTTCAGAGCAATCTGACTAATATAACATTAGCGTTAAGAAAGCTTACTTAAATATCTGCCACAGCATAAGTAACCGGATCAAAGTAACATTACGTACAGTCCGCGGCACTGTGAGTGCAGATGTCGATGTGTCCCATTATCATTCATATCACATCATAATGTATCATATATTTCCTTATCTGAGTCAGCTTCTTGAGCCGTATCTGGCCGTGCAACACTTACAGTGTCACATACTGTATGCAGAAGTATTATTTTAAGCAACACATTAAGTTGACGAAACACTCGAGTCAAATGTAATTAAAGTCAGATTGTGTCTTAGACGGGGCAGTGATATCATAAACCTGTTAATGTACGCATTCAAACACTTGTTTTTTTACCAGCTGTATTCACCTTGCAGGTGGAACTATGTGGCTTTTATCCTGGATAAAGTGTTTAAGTCATGGATGTTTAAAGTTTAACTTCTTCATATTTGTCTAATATTATAAGTTTACTTTTCATTCAGGAAGTATGACGCTGCGCTGTCAGTACGCTTGTCCATGTTTGTGATTGGTCAAATGTTGCTAACCCCGCCCCTTTCATGTGAACGCGCACTAAGGCCCCGGCTCCACGAGGACAAATACGGCAAAACGCATCGGAGTAACGCAAATGCAACCGCAAAAAACCTTCCGTCCCCACGCAATATACACCGGATTGTGTCAAGCTCCACGAGACGGCTCCGTTTACATCCAAACGCTGGAAAAGCTGCAGTACATATGCCGAACCTGTACGTGGCGCTGTAACTTCCTCCACAAAAGCAGCAACTTCCTCCACAAAAGCAGCGAAGAAGAATGGTTGTCATGGCTGCACTTCTGTGTATTCTCCGCGGTGGGGGCCGACAGAACCGGGCAGAGTTTTTCGCCGGTCAGCGTGTGTTAAAGTTTAAATCTTCCGGACAAAATTATAAAAGTGCCGGTCAAAGGTCTTCATTGTTATTTATTGAGCTTTAAAACAAATGAATAACGACGATATAATGATATATAATCATCAAATACACTGAGCCTGTCTCTTTTTCCTCTCTTCTGACAGCGTCAGTGTCTGTCTCATGCAGCAGCTGATCCAGTAATGAGTGACCCGACAGTAAAAATGAACATATTTATAACTAGTTTAGGTAGTTTGAGAGGTAATTAAAATAGCTAAGGGTGATGATCTGACTTGAAGTGTGTGTTTTGCTCCCGCTGCATCACAGCGGCAGGAGCTGCGTGTCTCCGTCCTGTCAGATTAGACTTCACTCGCGTTTATGTCCATATCGAGATAAAGATAAATAATCTGAATTCAAGGAGGAGCTCCTGTAGATGTTGCACAAAGAACTGTAGCATGGTCAGTAGCGACTGGAGCACGATAGCAACCCTGCGGGGGAGAGGCGGGGCTATGAAAACGAATGACCGTATAGGCGACTCCACGGCCCCGTTGGACCCCCCAGAGCGCTCCGTTCCCAGATCTATCCACCTTTGGACCCGTTGTCGTTTGCGGGGTCTGTTTCTACGTTTCCCTTACGGCGTCGTCGAGCTTAGAGGGCTATACGCATGAGAAATATGCGGATTCAACCCGTTTTCGTCCTCGTGGAGCCGGGGCCTCAGCCAGACATGCCCCTTTCACACCAACGCGTTTTCAGCGCCGGCTCGGAGCTGGAGCCTGAAAAGTAGGGGTGTTGAAAATAATCGTTTCTACGATGCATTGCGATGCGGACGTGGACGATTCGGTATCGATGCAGAGACGGAAGATAATCGATTATAGCGTAGTAACGTTGCTTCCTGATTTTCCGGCCGCGGCTTTACTATAACGTTTTTTTTTCTGTCACTTTAATATCAAATCGGTCGGTGACGCAGAGATCAGGGAACAGACGTGACAGCGGCACAGCAACACCAAACACGGAGCAGTCTGCTTCATCCACCAACACAAGAACACCAGTCCAGAACCAACAGCAGAAGGACCCGCTCTGAATCACTCCGTGTCGCTGCGGCTCAGAGACACAAGGATTTATGTTTTTCAAAAATAATCGCGTTACAATCATGTCAGGTTTTTGGTGGATTTAATTAAGTCTTGGATTGCAGAGTATGAATGTCCTCTAGCAATTTTCAGACGATATATACATGTGTAAAGTTTGTGAAGGCAGGAGGAAAGCTTCCGCGATCACCGTCTCCTCTCCATTCCTCCAAACCCCGCCCCCTCCCTGAAAATAATGAGTGACAGGCTGATAGTGACCCGATAGAAACTGTATTATTCACTTAATCACTGATTGAGATATAATGAAGCTAACTTAATCTCATACATTCATGGGATTTATGTAACAGTAAGACAGAGAATGTAAGTGTGCTCCCACATGCACTATTTTTGTTTGTATATGCTATTGTACTCCTGTTGTCTGCTGTGCATTGATGAAAAATAAGCCATGTGCAGTAATATAGAAAATTGAGGATGCAACGCATTGGTATGAATCGTGATGCATCGTGATGCATCGGGATATCGAATTGAATCGATTCGTTGACAGGATAATCGTAATCGAATCGTGAGACCAGTGAAGATGCACAGCCCTACTGAAAAGTACCGGTTTTTCCTCTTCACACCGCAGCGGCGCCGCCTCTTAGCTCCGGAATCCAGTTCGTTTCCAGCTCCAAAAAATTGTCGGCCTAGAAGCAAGACCCCGGAGCTAAGAGGCGGCGTCGCTTACGTCTCTCTTACATCGAGGCGTGCAGGAAACTAAACCCACCTCCCCTGAACATGGGTCGACTGAAGAGTCTCGTCATGCCTGCCTACAAGCAGTAGCGCTGAGCAAAGTGACTAGAAGGCAACCACACACTTATAAAAAAAAACACACTTTATAAAGTCAGGCAACACTAACCAGGCTTCGTGTGATTCTGTTTATTTGTACCTTACTTTGACCATCCGTTCGCTGTTATTGATCATTGTGGAGAGCAGGCAGAGGTTTTGTTTGTTATTATAGCAGCTATCGGATGGAAACAATACATGGGCTGCACAGGTTGTCATGTCCGACTATCACAAGTAGAATCATAATGAAAAATTACGCCGGTAAAATGTGCCTGTAGAAAACGGCTTATGCCACAATAGGATAGCAATAGCAAGTAGTCAGTTTAGCTTCGGTTGCTATGCTAACATCACCCATTTTATACCAGAGAAACTTTCATAACAGCGTTGTGATGCCAAACAGCGTCAATTCAGACTGACACCCTTCACTTAAGGGGAACTGGGGATATGTATCAGCTGCTTGTGTGACAGTCAGACAGTGAATACTTTAGAGCGGCCGCTGCCATGTGAGCTAACCCGGAGCTAACGGGAGAATACACTCCCGTGGAAGAGCAGCCAGCACTGCAGCGGTCGGTAAATGCCGCTGAAACACATTAATAAATAATGAACCACGGCACTCTGGAGAAAAGTATAAGGTTGGAGAAGTCGTTATTTAATTTAATCTGGCTTCGTATGATTAAAAGCAACCCGATCATCGACCAGACGCAGTCCCCGGTTGTTGTTGTGAGCGCCGTTGGAGAGCAAATCAGCGATGTAAACGGTGACGTCATGACGCAGCAGCGGCAGCACCAGTCGGGCTCTGGGCGGGTGGTGAACAGAAGCGGGAGCAGAAAAGGGAAACCGGAGCTGAACCAGAAAAGCTCTAGCTCGGAGCTAGAAAGGGAAAAGCGCTGGTGTGAAAGCCGCAACAAAGAAACCCTGGCTTGAGTTAACGAGTTCATAACCAGCGTCGTAGGACCCGCTTAGCGAGAGCGCCTTGTTTTGGGTTAGTTAAGCCAGATGACTCAAACATATCCAGGGGTATGTTGAACTGGATTCGTAGTACAGCCTCAGGAGCGATTTGGCCAAACTGTTTCGCATTTGTGTTGACCTTTTCCTCTGTCATTCTTTCAGATAAATTCAACAGTGTCCATGTCAGGGCTTCATGCAGTGAGCAGCTCCGATGATGTGAAACCTCCGTTTGGCTTGAATCAGCTGTCGCCCCAAAGCCCAGGGCCGATGCTTTCCCAGAAACGCCTTTGTGCCATCTGCGGAGACAGATCATCCGGTGAATAGACTAGTTCAATTTTATCTTCTTTGCCTTGCATTGTCTTCTTTGTCTACAAATTAGAAGATGTCAGGGCCTGAGATCCTTTATCAGTTCTCAAACAAGTTGTCCTCGCTATTGTCTTACTTCTTTGGTGCTTTTCCTCCCTCCTTCCCTCATCCTCTAGGTAAGCACTATGGTGTCTACAGCTGTGAGGGCTGTAAAGGCTTCTTCAAGCGCACAGTGCGCAAAGACTTGAGCTACACCTGTCGGGACTTAAAGACTGTTTTGGTCGATAAGAGACAGAGACCCGCTGCCAGTACTGCCGCTACCAGACAGTGCCTGGCCATGGGCATTGAAGAGAGAAGGTAAGAGAGCAGAGGCCACTTTGAACACCTGTTCATGGCCGGTGCTCAGCCCCTTCTGCCTCATGACCCTACAAATGAGGTCATTTCACCTTTCCACGGACACAATTTTAGGCTTAAATGCACTACACTGTGGTTTGCAAATAAAATTATGATAAAAAAAAACGTTGGTTTTTAAAGTTGTATTTGATATTGATGATAGTTATTTAGCTGACAGAAATGTCTTTCGAAAGCGGTTTGTTTTGGATAAACGGATAAACCACAGAATCTAATACGCCCAAATCTGTTAAAGAGGATCCAATAGTAGTTGTGGGGGAGGGGCATATATGAAAAGCTCCTACTCTAATACACACATATTTGGTTTTAATTTCCCAGTGGGCAAGTTTGATCTTCAGGTCTTTTGCTACTTTTCCTCATAGAAAATCTGACTGTTTTGCAAACTTTTCTTTCAAACTATTTTTCCCAACTCAGGGGCTTGCTCGATAAAACTTAAAATCGTACTGCAGGACACGCCAGTAGGGTTTCCATTTTTATGGCTCTTTCAGATGTGTTTTGAGAAGTCTTCTTTTGCCTAAAACTGAGGGACACAACTAGCGGATCCTTGGTGGCCCTCAGTGTGCAGTTAAACTATGAAATGCCCTGTCCCTTATACATAACGAAATAATAATTATAAAAATATAAAAAATATTAGAGTTTATTCTAATTGAATTAAGAACTTAAGTGCAAAATATAAATAAATAAAAAGGTAAATAAATACTCAAATAATTTTAGCTATCATTTGAGTTCTTAGTGGACCTTTTATTGTCCACCATTATCACACAGAGAGAGCCCTGTCCTGTGCTGTGTTTATTCTGGGGAAATGGAGCCTGGAGGGTTGGACAGCTTTGTGAAATGAGGGTTGCCAGTTGGAGTCAAGTTTGTTAATTACATTTAACTGAACAGTAAAGTATGATGCAAAAACAAAAGGACAGTACTGAAAATAGTTCCCCTTGAAATACTTGAGATTATCTTGATTTATGTCTTCCTCACAATTTGATTCCATTAAAAGACGATAAATTATCATATTGAAATATCGGCCAGCGCTACTTTAAAACTCCTATCATAATCTAAGAGTTGTCCACTCCATAACTCCATAATTAAATATGCGTTGTGACAGTGCCTGTGAATTTATATAGCTCCTTTTCATTCATGCTCATAGCGCTTTATGTTGAAAAGAAAGCAGGCACAAACTGCAAAGATCTGTCGGGCGCTGTCGGTACGAGCTAACTGTAGCGCGTAATGAGCTTTCTTATATTACATAATTTTATTAGGAATAAATCCCCTAGCAAATGACTGGGCTACTTTTATTTTAGCTTGACAATAAGTCAGTATTATTTTGTGCATTGAAAGAACGAGTACAGAGTGATAGAGAGGGAGATAAGGGTGGGTACGCCTTGCAAAAACTAACCCCCTTTCCCCCTCTCTTCCTCTTTTTGTTTCCTCTCGTTCTCTCTCTCCCCCCTCCCTCCTTCTGTAGTGGCCAAGATGAACGACAGATGTAAGGAGAAGAGGGAGGGAGAGGCGTGTGTCTGTCTGTATGAGTGAGCCAGAAGCAGAGATTTTACATCTATGAAAAGGAGCTAGTTTAAAAGGTCTTTCCAGACTTTGTTGCCAGTTTTCAAAGAAATCCCTTCCCTTATTGTTTTAAAAACCTTTTACAGAGGCAGTGACAGTTGCTTAGAATGCATACTCTTTTTATTCGTCATCCTCCTTTACCCTAAATCAGTGTTTCTCAAACTTTTTCATACCAAGGACCACTTAACCAATAAAAAAAACACTCGCGGACCACCTAACTCCACAAATATCCAAAAAACACATCGTTTTTCTAGAACAGATTACAAATCGCCTGAAAAATGGTACAAACAGGTGGCAACATGCGTGACGAAGGTGTTGCGCTGGGCTATATCATGCAATCGAAAGTGAAACTTAAGCTCACTCCATTGTGGAGATATTCCCGCGAGAGTGCGGAAAACTTAAATTTATTTATTTATTTCAAATGTGAAATCTTACCAATATACTCACGGACCACTAGGGGGCGCTCACTTTGAGAAGCACTGCCCTAAATCTACTACTGTCCATGAGCATTATGCTTCTTATTTATGGATATTTAAATGCTTGTAGAGGAAGGATAGATGTTAATTTCATTTCTCATCCATCAAGATGTGTTGTCTTAGAAAAAGGCAGCTTTCCGGGACAATTCTACTTCTCAAAACGACTGGCTCGCCTTTTGTTTCCTTTATTAATACAGACGCACTGACCAATGCAGGATGACAGTGGTATCAAGTGTAATAATATCAAGTCATTGCTTTGCTCTGCTCATACATACAGGATTCAGGACACATTGATAATCAGTGAATCATCAGAATAATAGTGCATGTTTCGTAATGAAGTCACTTTAAATAGATTTTCCCAATCAAGATAGGTTTGCTGCTATTTGTACAAATGACCAAAACACTAAACATAACAAATGTCTTTACAAAGCTCTCTGGAAGATAATACAGTACCTTAATTACTTATTTAACATTTAGAAAGGATTCCCCATGTATGCTGCAACTACCAGCTTGGATTGTTTAAGGGAGTTCACATTGGTATTTTTAAGGACTTGTAAAAAATTATACACATTTAGGACATTGACCTTAAATGCAAGTGCAACCATGGGAAAGTTCTTCACTGACCTGGCCAGTCACATAACCTGAGTCTCTGTCTACTGACGTGTGTGGGTGGTTGACTTTAAAAAACACATATTTTTACAAAATATTAAATAGGATGACATATTTAATTCCTCCAAATCATCTTTGATCACCTGAAAAGCTGTACTGTATATCAAAACATCCTATGCAGTTATCCAGAAATGGATAAACTCTCCATCCATAATTTGTCAAATGATTGATTCAACAAAACTTCCAAATGGGGGGGTTTATACATTGGATGTTTATGCACTTAAGTAGAACTGATTGCTCTTGCATTTTTACAGCAACCTTCTTTCTTGAACTTCATGAAAACAAAAACTAGTCCTGTTAATCTGTGTAAGGGATTAAGGAAATACACTTATTTATTAAAAAGAAAAAAAAAGTTTCCTTTTTGGCAAAATGCTCACTTTAAGATTGTTAGTCCCTCCTGAATGTTGCTGTAAATATATTTCCATCCATATTGGTAGTGGGCCTGAAAGAAGTATGAAAGCTAGCATGAGAGACTTATTATGAATTGTATATATTTGTATTTTGTTTTCACATCTATGTTGTTCTGGTCTTGCACTTTTACTTCCCCCTGTTCTTTTTGTATGCAACTTCTTCATCGTCATGTTTGTACCTCTCTCTTTCTCCATTCGGTTGTCTGGTGGCACATTCTACTTATCCTTCGGTCATTTCCTCTTCCACTGCTTTTATTTTATTTATTTTATTTTGCTGCGTTCTTCTTGTTGTCTCTAATTATGCTCTTCTCTATCTTCCTCCATTCCTTCACCTTTGTACCATTCCCGCTCCTTCATTATTTCCTATTGACCTGCATTCACCCATCCTTCCCACCAACATTTACTCCTCTCTGATCATCCTATTCTTCCTCCCTTTTCTTGTCCTTCATTCATTGTTTCCCTCCACCCCTGCAGCTGTCCAAGAGGAACGGCAGAGGAACAGGGAACGAGAAGGCGAGGTGGAGTCGACTAGCGTGGTGAACGAGGAGATGCCGGTGGAGAAGATTTTGGAAGCGGAGGTGGCTATAGAGCAGAAGACGGAGCTTCATGCTGATGGAAGTTCAGATGGCAGCTCTGTGAGTAGTCTGAATGGTGGAAATGAACCACAAAATGCATCCATTTGAGGGGCTTTCTGCAAAATTCGTAATGACTGTTTTTTTCAAATATTTGATGATTTTCAGTTTATATTTGTAGTTCAAAGATGAAATAATTCCCAAAACTCTAAATCTGCTTTCTTCAGCCCAACGATCCAGTGACCAACATCTGTCAGGCCGCAGACAAGCAGCTCTTCACCCTGGTGGAGTGGGCTAAGAGGATCCCTCACTTCTCTGAGCTGGCCCTGGACGACCAAGTCATCCTGCTGCGGGCAGGTGGGTCTCCCTCAACAAGGGTTCATGGATCAATAGGGATACAAAAAAAAAAGAAAATCATGTTTTCATATTTTCCAATTCAACAAAGCAGTGTCAACAGTACAGGGAACATGTATAAAGAAAATAAATAGGGGGGGAAAAACCAATGAAATGGTTGCGTTACAAAACAACAATTACTGCGGGGTTTTGCGCTCCTCCATCAAATTGTTCTTTAATACCACTGTGATTCCATATAGCAGTTGGTCTGAGTAATTTATGTTAATGACCTTGCACAAAACATTAGACAATGTTAGACAAACACTGCTTTTGTAATGTAAATCCAATATTTTACATTTAAAAACGGATTAAGTAGTAAACCCTGTATTGTTATATTTTATATATATATATATATATATATATACACACATTATACTAACATCATATTGCTTTCTTTGATGAAGTCTTCAGGCAATCTGGTGTATGTCTTTGCCTTTTTCTTTCAAAATATAGAACTAAATATTAGTGTCCATAATCTCAAAAAACCTGGAGGACTCAGTACTAAAGAAATACTTTTTTTTTTAAATGGTCTCCTACAGCCATGTCAAATGAGAGGGTTTGAACAATACTTTTGTTATGTGAAGCATATGAAACAAAAAAACTGTAGAATATTTAGACTTTTATTTCACTAGAAATATTGAGACTAGGGATGCTCCGATCAGGATTTTTGGGGTCGATCACCGAAATCAGTATCGGCCGATACCAATCGCCGATCCGATCATAGGGTGGGTGGGGGCTATGGGGATCTTCCATTGAAAGTGATGTTTAAAACTCAGTTAATGGGGCTCATTTTTATATTGCTTCAGTTTATAATCGTAACGGATCGAAAAGTTCAGATAAATGTTTAAATACATGATGCGCTTCCACAAACAACAACCAACATAATTATTACATTAAAATGAAGTACATTATTCAAGTTTACATTAACTTTGGATAATAACATGGGAGAAATTAGCGGGAGCGCTCTCTTTTCCTCTCTCCCCCTCTCTCCCTCTCTCCCCCTCTCTTCCTCCCCCTCTCTCCATCCCCTGACAGCCCGTCAGTATCTGTCTCAGTGACCCGACAGTGAAGAATAAATATATTTATAATTAGTTTAGGTAGTTCCAGAGGTAGATAAAATAGCTAAGTGTGTTAGGTCTAACTTGAAGTGTGTGTCACCGGTCAGTCACCGCGGGCGGAGCTACAGGTGATCCGGGAGAGCTTTCTAACGGAAACTCTGTTGTGTAGCATTATGTATTTATTTACTATTCCATTACCTTTGCTGTTATTTCTTTTGACTTCTTGCTGTCCCTGCTATAGGGTTCCTGCCGTTTAAATGTGTCACTAACTGTCAACTGAGTGGATGACGGAGTTTTTACTGACTTGGCGCTGGCTTGCCTTTCATACTCGCCGTATTCTTTGACGAGAGGAATTCTCAAATGTCTAATGAGATTTGTGGTATTAAATTGTCGTTGTTGCGTTCCACCACGAGGGATTTCTGCTTCACACACGTTGCATACCGCTATTTTATTGTCTTTTTCGGACACCTTAAAATACTGCCAGACTGGTGAAGCCATTTTGGCGAGCTTGTTTTGCCGTGCACAGAGAAAAGTGTCATGTATTTTACGTCATGTGATCGGCTCTCCTGATCGGCCTTTATAGAGAGCACCGATCGATCGGTCGAGAGTGAATATCGGCCGATATCGATCGGCGGCCGATCGATCAGAGCATCCCTAATGAAGACACTGACTCTTTAACAGGCTGGAATGAACTTCTGATTGCATCGTTCTCCCATCGCTCCATCTCGGTGAAGGACGGGATTCTGCTGGCCACCGGCCTGCATGTCCACAGGAACAGTGCTCACAGTGCAGGCGTCGGAGCCATCTTTGACAGGTAATACACAAACGCATAAATGCACAAACAGTGTCACTTTGACAGAAACATCAGTGATTTCCCAGCATTCAGAGGTTTGGGTGGCTGACCCAACTGGAGAGGACATGCCACCATAGAAACGTGCTTTCTTAAAGGCCTTTTTTAGGTGTTAGGATTGTAATAGATTGACCATAAGAATCCAGGTGATATCCTCATTCTCCTTTTTGAAATCACCTTGTAAATCCACATCAATCCTGAGAGCTTCATGAATAAAAAAAACAATATGTGCCTTTTATTTATCCATATGAATTACTCAGGTTTAGCTACATTAGTGGCTGGGGTAAGAACTTATTGTGTCCTCATGTCTGGTTGGCTGCAGCTGCTGTGTTCTGCGTTGGATGTGACAGCGCATGCCGCGGACGCTGGTGACTAATGCTTACCCATAGCCATGCATGGTCACACACACACACACACACCAGGGATGCAAACTTGTCACCTTTCGGCGAAATTCGCCGTTTTGAATCCAAAATAGGTCGTTTGTGTGATTCATGTAGATCTGCAATAAAAATATTTTTGGGGTATGGGGGGGGTCTGGGACCCGGAGTAATCTGCGGCCGCGAGCTGTTATGTGCCATCATGACACGCATGGTGTTCTTTTTTTATATATTATAATGCAGCGCGAGCTGTGTGCTCGAGTCTTCCTGCCTGTCGGGTCTGCTCATGGATGTATAATAAGGCTCTGCCGCTCCGCTATGATGGTCTAGCTTAATTAGCTACATTACCTACGGGTGCGTTCGTTAATATTAACTGTGCGGTCCGGAGTCACTGTGGCACAGACTGGACCGCTGGTGAGCAGCTGTTAGAACGGGCCGTTCAGGTGTTCAGATCAGAGCTCCCTGTCGGAGCGGCAGAGCGTGATGTGCACTGAAAAGTGTTCCTGTCGCAATATTATCGTTGAGCTAGCTAACTAGCATACATTGTCACTATCTGCTAACGTTAGCTTTAGCCTTCGTTTTCAAATAGTTTTTTTCATAGGCTATAAACGGAGGTGGTATAAGTATAGATCTTGTACTTGAGTAAAAGTAGAAGCACTCAGATCTTGTACTTGATTAAAAGTAGAAGTACTCAGGTTTGAGTAAAAGTAGAAGTACCAGAGTGTAGGAACAATCCTGCAATCAAAATGTTCCTCAAATAAAAGTACAAAAGTATTATCATCAAAATATAGTTAAAGTAGCGACAGTAAAAGTAGAAGTACTCAGATCTTGTACTTGAGTAAAAGTAGAAGTACTCAGGTCTTGTACTTGAGTAAAAGTAGAAGTACCAGAGTGTAGGAATACTCTGTTACAGTAAAAGTACTGCATTCAAAATGTTCCTCAAGTAAAAGTAGAAAAGTATTATCATCAAAAGTGTGAAAGTAGCGACAGTAAAAGTAGTCGTTGTGCAGATTGGTCCATTTCAGAATAATATATATGATATGTTTTATAATGATTGATCATGAAAGTGTTCTCAAAGCTGGTAAAGGTGCAGCTAGTTTGAATGACTTTGAATACTGCAGCTTGTGGATTTACTCCAGGTGGAACTAAAGTCTGATTTAACACTTGATTATGTTTCACATCATTCATCCACATCTGTAAAGTAACTAAAGGTATTAAATACATGTAGTGGAGTAAAAGTACACCATGTACCTCTGAACTGTAGAGGAGTAGAAGTACACCATTTACCTCTGAACTGTAGTGGAGTAGAAGAACAAAGTAGCAAAACATTGAAATACATAAATAAAGTACAAGTATCTCAAAATTGTACCCAAGTATAGTACTTGAGTTTATGAACTTAGTTACTTTACACCAGTGGCTATAAAGATAGAAAGACTAAGCTTTGCACAGAGGCATGAAAATACATTTTCAAAATGCTCAACAGTGCTGCCAAAATTATAAACTGACTGCTACACAATTAAAATAAATGCTTTTATATATTTCTATTAGATGTGACTCTTTGGCGTTTCTGTTATTATTAACTGCTTTAGTTGTTCTGACTGCTAAAATCCTGTTATTCCTCATTTTAAAGCCGATATTCCGTGGGGTCGGGGGGCTCGGATCCTTGTCACCTTTTTCATACCTGATGAGTTTGCATCCCTGGACACACACACAGTGGCATAGCACCTGTTGCAGCATTTGATAACGTGATAACGGCTGGCTTATGTAATACTAACATGTGAATAAATAATAGGAGTATCCCTTAAAGTTCCTTAAAATATGTTACTGTAATCCCATTACTGTGCAGATTGTTGAAGAGGCCATGGGTATATATCTTAGTTTTACATTTTCTTTTCTGCTGACCAAGGAATAATTGTTTTGCGAAATAAAAAAAGAATAATTGTTTGTGATCTCATCATAAAAAAACACTATGTTGTAAAAAATGTCTTTCCATGATCAAAGTTACTATAAATAATAATATAGAAATGTTACTGTGTCTATGTGTTTATATAAGCTTCTATATATTGGTGGCATTAAGTACACTGAGTCTAGAGTCATCAGAATCAGAAACGGGTTTATTGCCAGGTAGGTTCACACATACGAGGAATTTGACTTGATGTCATGGTGCAGACATAAAATATAAAACAAAGAATCTCCATATAAAACAAGAAATCTTTAAGGACACTGTAATACAATATAGTTAAATAGCAATAAAATAAAGCAGTAATTTACAGCTAAATAGAATGTAATGAATTATAGAATATAAACTATGAAATAAGAATATGTGCAGTAAGCAGTAATCTAAAACAAGCTTCTTGTGATCCCAGTATACTAATTCCATGATCAACAGAAAACATCTCATAACCGTTATTACCGCCATGGCCTCTTCAGCCTTCTGCATTATCACATCAACCATCATGTGTTACTTTAAAAGTGATACTGCATGTTAATGACATTTAAATAAAAAAGAATAAAGATATCACAACAAAAATATATATCTATATATTTTTGTTTTTATGCAGAGTTAAATAAATTAACACTTTTGATTTCAATAAATGCTGGTTAATGTGATAATGTGAAGTTGTTGGAATCTTCCAGGGGTAAATTCCACCGACAGTTTTCAATAAAAATGTTCTGCTTTGAGTGAAACATTTCTTCTGTTCCCTTTATCACCTACCTTGACTTAGAAAAATGCTCCAATTATTGAGGATTTTTCTGTCAAACCCCAACTATATCACAACGTGTCACTTCACTGTTTATTGCACAGTTTTTACATAGTTAAAAATGATACTTTTGCCTTTTGTCCCGCAGCAAGCTAACTAGGCCTATGGCAAGCAGCCTTATGATTTCCCTCTGACACCTTTTCATTTTTCTCAAAGCACTGCTCTCTATTAGCAGCAGCCTTTTGTGTCAGCTTCTATTTTAAGCCATGGATTTAACTGTGGAGGATGTACATTTTAAAATATCAGAACGTATTTTCTTTGCATTACTTGAGGTAAACTTCTGACCACAAGTGCAATAACATTAAACCAAACAACACACATACTAAACTACTTTTTCAGACACCGCAACCACACAACAGAAACATATTTTGCAATAAATATTGAGCAAAGAGAAGACGTAAAACTATAAAGAAACTCAACAATTTACAAACTGGAAAGAGTAGGTATGTACTACCTTTGTCATTCTACGCAGGGGGGCTCTCTTGTCTCCACAACTACCCCCAAATTCACAACCAGTAACATTCTGAAAAAAGTCAAGCAATGACAAAGATAGTACGCACCTCTCTTATCCGACCGATTGGGTTTTTTGAAAAGTTGTTTTTTCTCTTTTTCTTGATTTACAAGCTGCCGGTTTCTGTTTTGTGTAATTTGCACCTCAAGCCTCTCTTTTTCAGACATAGCCACAGTTAATTTACCTTGCTTAAAGTCCAACTGGAATCAACCATATAGTCAAAAATAATAACATGATCTTCAAATGTATTATATATATATATTTTATTTATTTATGGATGAATAAGTGTGCTACAATCTCCTGGGTTACTGCCCGTTTCGTCGCTCGTTAAAAAAAGCTAAAGCCATGTTTTTAGTGTGAGTTGCTCAAAGTGTGTGGCTCTTGTGTTGTGCAGCAGGCTTCTGTCTGGCTCAATGTGACTGTCTGCTCTGCCTTTAATATAATGACCCAGAAACTGCTTTATGCATGATTTGATTAGCTCTATTGAAATAAGGTTGCTACCAATGTAAACCGATACCAGAAAGGAACCTTCTCAAAGGAAAACACAGGACAATTTACGGGTACAATTTGTAAGCGTAATAATCAGTTGGACTTTAAGTGACCTTTTATGAAGTATTGTGATTTAGCAAGGAACACTTAAAAACTTGAGGGGTTAATAGTATTTAACTTTTAAATAACTTGTTTTTTGCTGTTATGCATTTGGCTCGTTTTATTTATCATAACCTCCTCATAACATTTAAATATAGTTAGTTGGTCACTTATCTAAGTCCACATTATGATGGATCAATGTTTATCAGAGGTCCACATTTAGTCATATAGATGTGTAGGTACAGGTGCAAGATAAATCAAACTGAGTCGAGACACAACAAATGATCCCCATGACAAACTATTTTAAAAACAGTTTTATACATACAGAAAGTGGTTTGTACCACTGACATTTTTTCAAATGAAATCATAAGTAAGCACTGACTTTCTGAAGAGCTCAGAAAAAAGAAAGTCATGTAATAACAATCTAACTGTGTAATGACATTGTAATAACACATTGTGATTGAATACACAGGGCGCACAATGCCGAGGTTGGGGCCATATTTGACAGGTAATTACGCCACTACACAAACACTTTCCTTAAACCCCTCCTCTTGAAACAAACACAGAAGCAAAGCTCGCAGGTTGATGCTTTCAGGCTTTCCGCAGCTTTGCAGAAGGCAGCCGGTGTCCGCTCAAAGATTCTTATCTGAACATTTACTAAGATTTCTTTGACCTGATTACCAAATGGGTGTGGTTAAGGTCATGGTGACAAAAAGTAGCACTGAGATTTAAATTTGTATTCAGCACCACATTTGGTTTTTGACAATTCTTGAGCCTTACCAGACCAAAAAGAGCAAATCAAAAATGTGTGGGCTATCTTTTCCAGGGCATTAGTGTGGGGAAAATACTATAAAACTCCAGTGGAGGACACTGTTTCACACCGTGAGGTCAGAGTGTGTTTAAACGCCCTGATTCACCGTTGAGCCTGTCCTATAATTACTTTTAATAACATTAATGAAATACACTCTTGGTGCACTTAATCTCATAATCCTCCATTATCGCAATTTAAATAAATAAATAAACTGTATTCATGGTCCTGTGTGTGAATAAAAACAAACTTGGTTTTGTGGGCCTGGGCGTTGGCTTTCAAAATGTCAGCTACTGATGATAAGCGGCAAATCAACTGTCTCTGGTGGCCATCACTTCTTACGCTTTACTCTTCAAAGTTCTTTCATCCATATTAAAGGCATGCGCGCAGAAGTAGTGATGAAAGATTGAATATGCACTCATTGCCTAACTGGCATTACTTTACCTTTTCTGAATCTCTTTTGTTTCTGTATGAGAATGTGCTGATGCGTTTTTACGTTGGTATGTTTTCTCTAGTTTTGTATGCCTTGCTCTGGAATAACATCTCACTTCTTTAGGTTTCAGCATTTGTGAAGCATTTTTAAGAATGAATGTGTGACATTAAAGTACAACCGCAATGCCTTGATCACTCCCTCGCTCTGGCCAAGTCTTCCTTCTTGCAGCAACACATATCATGTAACAGTGTTTGTCAGAACTTCGTGTTAATACAGATTTAAAATACATATTTCTTTTTTACCAAACTCGTGACCTACCCTAATTTGGGCATGGATCCTTGAATTTGAAATGATATGTTCCCTAAAATCAAGGATTCCGTTCTGTTTAGTCCCTTTGGCAGCAAAACACTTCAAACATTTGCTAGCACAGCTAATTATAAATATCACAAAGGTGATCAAGGAAAAAGCACAATCATTGCTACCCTGGCCAGTTTGAACTTCTACTTTAACTTGTATGTTTTCTTTTTTCCTGCAGAACCAGCAGTTCAGCCATACATTTACTAGCTTAAACAAAAAATCATTGCATTGAGATGTAACCATTAATAACAATGTGATTATAGAGTATGGTCCCTCTCTGTTGTTCTTACCCTTTTCCCTCCCTTTCTTCCTCTTGTTTTTATTGCTTTCTCTGCTCTCTTTTTCCATCTCCTGTCCTTTCTTCCCTAATCTGGGATTGTCCTCCTGTCTCCAACTGGGATTACCCCTGCACCTCTCCTCTCCTCTCCTCTCCTCCCCTCTCCTCTCCTCTCCTCTCCTCTCCTCTCTGCAGGGTGTTGACAGAGCTTGTAAGCAAGATGAGAGACATGCAAATGGACAAGACAGAGCTCGGGTGCCTTCGAGCAATCATCCTCTTCAACCCAGGTAAACGGACAGATAGAATGTAGAAAATCACCAAATACCACGTTTTAAATGGCAAACATGTCAAATGTGTTTCATTCCAGTACAGAGATAATGTTAATGTACATTTTTCTTTTCATCTAAAGATGCCAAGGGTCTGTCCATCCCCAGTGAGGTGGAGCTCCTGAGAGAGAGGGTGTACGCATCGCTCGAGTCTTACTGCAAACAGAAATACCCCGATCAGCAGGGCAGGTAGGATCACACACACACAGCTCAACAGTGAGGCTCTGGAAGTACACGTCCCATTCAGATCATAGAAGAAGATTGTGTTTTATGTCCTAAGCCATGATATTGTGAAAAGATGGAATACGCTCCGGTAGAAGCCACAAGACCAAATTATATCATCCATAATGTGTTGATGGAAACATTTGAGGCGAGATATAAACTATGCCCTTGCTGAATCCCTTCATTTTAGATTAGCAACAGTAAGTTTAAAAGGCGCAGTGTCCCCATTCTTAAAGGTTTGTGTTTTCTTAAAAAATTATCTTTTCTATTAGTTTTCTTTTATCCAAATGTTTGGCACCGGATCAAATTATTTATGGTCTCTATTCATCCCATAGTTTGTTAGCTAGGTTCCATGTTCTAAACTCACTATAAAAAGATTTCTAGAAATGTAATGGAGTTAATGAATGCAATATTATTTCTTTAAAAGTGGTCTTAAAGTGGGCTTCACTCTGGAGTTCTACACTCAAAAGTAAGATGTAGCCCAGCTGACTGAAGGCCAGGATATGATGAATTGTTTTACGCCCAGATAACGTTTTCCAACAGTGAACGTTCTAAGATCATTTCTAACTCTGCTCTTCTCACCCTTCCCTCTGTCGTGCAGGTTTGCGAAGCTCCTCCTCCGGCTCCCTGCGCTGCGCTCCATTGGTCTGAAGTGCCTGGAGCACCTGTTCTTCTTTAAGCTGATCGGCGACACGCCTATCGACACCTTCCTGATGGAGATGCTGGAGGCGCCTCACCAGCTCACCTAGAGGAGCCAGGTTCGGTCCCTCAGGATCCGATGCACACCAGGATCACCAACACGCCCCCCCCCACATCGGGTCTACGGCTCCTCTCCACGAGCCTCGCTTAACTGCAGCACCCTGCTGGTTTTAATGTACCGGCTCTCACACACATAATCCATGTCACTGACTTATTATCATCACACACACATGCAGATATTAACTTGCATCAATTGACATGCAACGATACAATATTATGCTACCACACATACACACACTCTTTTAACCGTTATCCCTCATTTTCCACCATAGGGGTTATGAATCAAGGAATATATCCCCCCTTCTTGTCACACATGTACAGTAAATGTCTTAATTTTAAGTTAGCCTTCAGTTTTCACATCTTCATCTCACTGTGGGTTTTTGCTTCTGCGTAACTGGTAAACGTTCCCCATTTTCACTTCGGTAATATCTTACACTGCTAGCTGCACCTCTATATATTCTATCCTTCACTATCCGGTTAGTTGTTCATGTATGGTTTTAGCTTAACATACGGTGCTCAATCTCAATCAACTGTCCATCATCATCACTTCTGATTGGTCAGGAGGTGTCCTTTAACGATCAGCCAGACTTAGCCTCCCAGTGAGTTCATCCAATCCCGTAAATATTGAAATATTTTATGCTTTTTTTTATATATATATATACATATATATATATATATATATATTCATGCTGAAACTGGTTTGAGTTTCTTTTTTGAAGTACTGTACTCATGAAATGAGAGCTTTTTCCAAGGCATTGAAATCCAGGAAAAGGGGAGTGGGAGCACTTTGTCTAACAGGCGAGCTGTGTCCCTCCCACCGTGATGCGCACAGCGGGCTTTGTAAGACTAGAAGAATGACTTGAATTTTTGTTTTTTTTTCCTAGTTTTGATTTCATCCTTTTCTCTATTTGGGCAGTTGGTTGGCAATTGAAATCATTTTGAGGCTCACAGGAAGTACAGCTTCCTGCATGACTAAATCCTAGTTTCTTGTATCTCCTTTTCTCCCAAATCCTCCTTTTGCTGGTGGTCATTTATGCACTTTTGTGAATTGTTACTGTGTAAATGTTCCTGTTTCCTAGAAATGACCATCTATTCTCAGACACCTAAGATGACCTTGAAGCTACTATGTGTAGGATTTTGTCATTATTGCATCATTGTTGAATCAGATGTGATGATTTATTATAGAACATGCTAAATGATTGCCCAGTTCCTGTTCAGACAATAAGGAAGTTTGGGACTGATCCCTTTGAAACAGTTGAGCCGGTATGATCGCCTGTCAAAACACCCAGTCGAGCTGACAGTCTATTTTTATTCCAAAATATCTTCTTTACATCAACTGCCCATTGGAAGAAAATCAAAAAGTTTCTGCATCACACAGCTTTGTATTTAGGATGCTGCAGCCGGTCCCCTATGTAAAACCAGACTCAACAAGAAGAGCTACACTAAGAGCAGCAGCAAGAATTGTTAAGACCAGATGAAATTATTTCAAATTGGCAGTAATGCAACATTTCACCTGATCATCAATCAATCAAATTCTCTGCTATCCTGCTACTCATGAAGGATTGCTGGATGTGAATATAGTCTGGTAAACAATGCACCTGGCTGAATAACTAGCGTGTCGCGTTCATGTAATGCAACAATGATATCAGTTATATAATGGAAATCCTACACCTACTACCTGCAACTTTGGAAACTTTATTCAGTGTGTATTGGCTCAATGCTTGCAACTTTTGTACAGTTGATGTAAATACTACAAAAAGAAAAACACAGGATTCGTGTAGAAACAAAGGCCTGTTCACAGTCAATGTGAATGTGAAATATGTCAAATTAAAAAGCTCTATTTTTTGCTGTTGAATCAACATTAGCATTAAGGACATCAACAAGAAATGATTATTATTGAGCCCAGGGCCAAACCACACCTCACTGCTGCTTTTGCACCATCTTCTGCCAATGCTTCCTGTTGTTCCTGGTAATTGATTGGCTGGATTTAATTGACAATGGCACTTGGCATTTACTGTGATTGAAATTTGTGTGCAACTGAATCTGAAGCGTCACAGTGAAATATGAAATGCAGCTACCACATGATCAGGAGATAAACTATGAAATAATCTATGTACACATGCTCAAAGGTGAGCAATACTGGGGTTTCACACAGATTTATTACCTTTTATGTTCATATTTAACGTTTTCTGTTAGGTATACGCTCCGCAATTAATAGCAACTAGCAACATATATTTTACAGTATCATTCTGCAGGGAAGAGGTACAGCTGTCCTCTACCAGGTGCTAAATAATACTTTTGATTCACATCAATGCAAACAAAGTATGCAAGTACACAGGAAAATCATTCTCCACTTATTGAACCTTCTTCTTAAGATGCAGGATTCCCTTGTAGAGTTTTTTTATTATTACTTTAAGACCCCTTATGTTATTGCAGACTACGGAAAATGAACACCAGCTTGTACATTTTGACTGTGGCTGACAAATCTTAGTACTCTACAAAACACAGCCAGTGTCTCTTGTATTTTAGAAATCAGTTAGGCTGGTGAAAAGATGAAAGGTAAGATGAAATACTTTGACCAGAATTAGCATTGAGCTTCCTGCACTGCAGATAGTCCAAATACTTCTGAAAGAGGACCCTTGGCCTCCCCCATGAAATGCGGATTGGAGGTTGGCAGTTAGATGACCTGTAAGACAGGTGGCTTTGTTTAATGTCAGTGTGTTGGTCTAACCATAGAAGTGTTGTTTCAGTTGTTCTCCATCCATGCATTCAACATATGAAGTATTCTCCTGATGTCTGTTCATTTCCTACATGTAGAGAAAAGTCGACCCCTTGATCCATTATTTTGGAGTGTCTGCAAAGAAACGCAAGCTGGTGCCAAGCTTATGGTTTAGGTGACGGGCACCGACATTTGCTAGCATTCTTGCACTGTTTAAGATGCGGTGTGGTCTCAGTGCTTTAGTATCTGGAGTGTTCAGATTAGCCTAAACTAGCAGTCTGAGTTTTTTGAGTGAACAAGGAATATGTGGCCACCAAACGTTGAGCTTTGTGATCTGGATTATAGCACAGCTGTCCTAAGACTGTTTGGAATGAATGTGAGTGCAACCTTCTTGTCTCTCAGAGAGTAGGCTGACTTTATCATGTGTGCAGGATTTTAGTGTTTGGAGTTCTACTGCATCATGTTCATACCTGGAGATGGGACTAATTATTAAACCAGTCATGCACACAGCTGACTGAGCAAATGCCAAGAATCATCAAGAAGTAACAGTATGCTAATTGCTGCACATTGTTGCTTTATCTGTTACATAAGTGAATTGGCAGTGAAAGGATTTAGAATTCCCATCCCTCATATAAATAACAGCAATGTGTTAAAAATTCCCAATTTCTATATTTCTTAACATTGCACTACGAGTGTATGTCATTAAGAGAATAATGAACTGATGCAGTAAACACATTTGAAAGAGAAGTCCATGCAGGTTCTGAATGCTAAGCCACTTGCCGCTCTGCTGATCAGGCCGACGGTTTGAGTAAGAGCTGGTGGTTGGGTATTAATTATTTTTTAACATTTGTTATAGGGTATGTGTGGCCACATGTGTATGCTTTTTATGCACTTGTGTAAGGAATCTGTCTGCAGCTACGCCTTTTGACTGGCAGATAATATAGCTTTGGTGGTGATGTGCGGTGTGATGATAGACTTGATGCACAGAGGAAGAGGAGCCAAGCTGGAGGGCTGATGAAAAGCTGTGTTGACCTGATGCTTTATCAACACGGCCTCCTCCCTTCCTCCACTTTACCCCGTCTCCACTGCTTTACTTTAACCCTAACAAATGCTCGTCCACTCACTGGGCTGAACTTGGCTTTGCATTGGAAAGGTTTTTGTAAAATAATCCTCTTATTCTTGGACTGTTTTGAAAAGGATGTGAAGCTTTCCTCGGGACGAGCATCGGAGAGCTGTAAGGAAGGGATTCAGTGCCGCGTGTCCCTCTTTGCTTACTTTACTTGATGGCAGCGACGATCCGCGGGAGACCGCTATATCCCACCGCGCCGCCCACAAATGTTTATCGTTGCAACGGTGTGCACTCAAGGCAGACGCATGCTGTGACCTTTTGACTGTGTAGCAGTATTGTTGTCGCCATCTTTGTTACATTTTGAAATGAATCGCTTTCTGAAAATAAGGACATTGATTAAACATGCTTTTCTTAATAAGATGGCTGGCTGTGACTGAAGAGTTGATCATCGTGTATAGAATAGATATCAGGGCGGCATTTGTACCTATTGACACAGGCCCCCTGGAGCCAAGGCCTATCCCATTATGATCAAGGAGGCAGTGTGTGCTATGCCGCCTTTGTACCACCCTCACTGGTTTATCACTGCCAAGCTGTACGCCGATTTGGGCTTCTTCTTTTTAATGCAGGGCCTCAGTCCCCTGTGCTTGTTTGTCATGTATGTTGTGTTAATTGTGCTGCAGACTAAAGAGTGTGTGCTAACCTTAGGCTGTGTAGTGCATACTAAAGAGGGACCCTAAGAGGATCGGAGTGACAGTTTGTGTGGAGAGGGGAAGGGCTGTTCGCTGGAGACAGTAGTGCACCAGTGTGTGGCCCCCTCTTGGTGCTCACGCTGTTCATTGGTGCTTTTTTTTTTTATAGGGTCCCCCCCGGCCCTTAAAACGTCTGCTCTGGTTTCCATGACACAGGGAAATGCATATATGACTGAAATGCAAATAGGGAACGGTTAAAACAGGGATAGCCTAGCCCTGCTCTTCTTTATTTGCATTTGTTTGGTTGTTTTCTGCAATCGGGTCCACTGCGCCCTGTTCTACTGCGCCCTGTTCTACTGTGTCCTGTTCTACTGTGTCCTGTTCTACTACGCCCTGTTCTACTGTGTCCTGTTCTACTACGCCCTGTTCTACTGTGTCCTGTTCTACTGTGTCAGTCACATGTGGCTGCAGCTGGATACCACCATTTAGAACATGAGGGAGAAACCGTGGCTCTTTGAAGACGCAGTGAAGAGGTCTGGTTGCAGGAGGCACCTCTGAGCAGAATCTGGTTACATGTATTGAACTTGATGGAAGGAATATGATTGCTCACTTTAAAGAGGAGGTTGTTGATCATGTTTTAGGTGTGATGATATTTGGAAGTCAAAGAGGTAAGGACTGAAACACAACTCAGATCAGGTGTCGTTAAGTCGCTCAAGAAGAAAAGCAGAACCTATTTTCTGGTAGAACTCGAATCTTCCTTAATTGTCTACTCTTCTTCACCTTAAAAAAACAATTCACACTGTTTCTTTGTGTCTCCCTCTTCTCCAGCTATGATATTCATATTTTGTTTATTAGGCGACAAAGTATTAAACAAAAGCAAGAACTGTAAAATCAGAAATGGAATATGTCACCCTCTCTTTCTCTCGTGTCAGTCCTTTGTCCTGTTTGTATCCGACTCCATCGTACACATGGAGCTGAGTGACTATCGTGTGCTTCGGGGATTGAAAGAAGAAGAAAAAAATATGAATACTTTTTCAGTCATTAATTCTAAATCTTGTTTCTGTTGTTGTATCATGTCCGAGTAAAGGTTTTAATACTGTATGTCAAGTGTTTTTTATTTATTATTTTTCGCACAAGTCATTTCAAACACTGCAAAGTATTTTGTTATCAAGCTAAATGATGTCAAATGAATATTGAAAGATTTAAATGAAAATGACCTTTAATTACAGCTACATACGCCTTTAACGCACTGTGGGTTGAACATTACAGTGTGCTAATTTCATTGTGGCTCCATATATATCACCCACTCACTGTCCATGAGTTGAAGTGTCCAAACTCCCTCTGTCCTGGAGAAATGTTGCTGATCTCCTCAGTCCAGCAGGACCGCAGGGCCCCGGCTGACCGCTTCCTCCGCACTCCCATCTTTCCCCCTCTAGAGGGAGCACTGACCCCTCCGTCCTCCAGGGTCTCCACCTCCTCCCTTGATAACAGCTGCTGGATGGTGAAATTGTCCTCCATGGCATCCACGCCTACTGAGCACACCTTGGCCAATGAGGAAGCAGCAGAGCTGAGATCAGTACATTTTAATAGGTACATTTCACCCTGAACCGGTGGCTCTATTCCCTCAACTGCTTATTTCAATGTTAAGAAAGACAGGAATGTGGGTATGAGCTTGCATCTGTGTGGCCATAGTTAGAAGCTGCTCTCTCTTTCTATATCTCTTTTTTTCTGGCCCCCCCTTTCACCACCTTCAGTATGTCCCCTCCCTCGTCTGTCACAGTCTGTCCTGATCAACTCTTCTTCCTGGTTGCCATGAGCTAGAACGTAAAGCCCTTGCTCAGCTTAGCTCACTATTTAAGGCCTGCATACATCTTAAGTTCCTAACTTTATTTAAGTTGTCTAGATCTTGATTTACTGTATCATCAAATGTAATTGATGTCATGTTTAAAGCCTGTTGTTAAAGTTCTGCTAACCCAGAATATGTAATGATTCAACCCCAGTTTTATCAGGCAGATGCTTGTAATGTCCATGGCTGTTTTTACTGACAGAATGAGAAAGGTTCTGAGTGTCATTTATTCTACAGAGGCTTTGTTAAACTTTGGTTTTAGGCCACAAAATAGATCCTTTTTTTAAAAGCCAAGCTGTGCTTCATGTTCAAATGAATCAGTCAATCTTCATATCTCAAAATGTCACCCTTTAAAACACACTTTTTGTCCAGTTTTGGTAAAACTGGATTTGGAAGACAGAACTTCATGCAGAATAAGCAGTACTTCCTCTGTGTTATGTGCGGTTGGTCGAGTAATAGAAACACCAGAGTCTTTTGGCCTCTCTTATTTTTGTGTTTTACTGAGCAGGCCAAATCTAACTTGAGTGTAAGGTTTAATTAGCTAAACTCTTGGTTAATCTTGTGCAAAATGGTGGTTAATTTGCTATAAAACATGCATTTGGTTACCATGGCTTGAATAAGTAGACTAAGTATAATGAGGTTGAGGTTAAGCATCACTTTCCATGTTTCAGATGTCTGAGCCAAGTGTGCCACTGTGGAAGCTGCTCCTGTAGTACCAGCAGCTGCCAACAGAGGGGGCAGGCACAATGAGTTTTCTGTTCAGCACCAGGATCAGCAGCATCAGTTTTAGAGGAGACTATAAAGCCAGACAGTAAGTTGCCCATTATGATTCAGGACAGTAATTGCCAACATAAGTTGTGTTAAGATTCCAAAATAAGATCATCAATAGTAAGATACTATTTCTCACAGGATCACTTGATGCTATGAAATGTAATGATTTAGCTGAACACCAGTTGATTATAGTTCATAATTTAGACACCTAGTGGTCTGTTTGAGTGCCCTCTTTGAACTGTATTCTGTCGTGCTTCTTAACATTTCTCAGGCCCTTAAACCTTTCTGCCCTTCTCTCTTCATTTCCCATCCTTCTTTTCCTGACTAATGTTTCCCTCATCACAATCTTGTCTCACCTTCTTGTAGGTCTCACTCTTCTCTTTCACTTTCAATTCTTCTCTCTTTGATTCTGTTAACCCTTCAATCCCTTTTTGCAGTGTCCTGCCCTCCTATCTCCCCAGTCTCCTTCTGGCTCTAACTCTTCCTCTCCTTCACTCCTGTTTCTTCACCCCACTCCCTCCCCTCCAGCGTGTGAGGGTGAGCCCTACAGAAAGACACCTTTTATCCCTGGGGTCAAATTCCTCTTCATTTCTGCTTCACCAATGTCAATTTTTACCGGGTGAATGTTATTACTGTGCACCGAAAAACAAGCCGTGTTTGAAGTCATTTGCCAGCATCGCTGTGGTGGATCCTGTTTGGCAGAAATACCCCACACATCGCGTTCATACCATAGACTGTATATATGGTTCACACACACACACACACACACACACACACACACGCACGCTTGCAAACTCTCTTGACAGGTAAAATACCAAAATGGAGGACAAGATGTCAGGTGTGTTGGATGCTCAGTTATTTTCTGTTCTAGGTAGGAAGATAGACCTCCACAGTTAAATAAATACTGTAACCCCCCCCCCTCTGAACTTCAGGGTTGCACAAGTTTCCTTGGCTGTGCAAAAGAGAACTTACAACTTCAAAAATGTGTTTTCTTTGTAAACTATCCGCAGTCTGCCAAATAAATTGGGAATTTGTACCCATAAGAAAAATACAGGTACCTTTAAAGAGGCCCTTTTATGCTTTTGGGGAGTTAAAATCCCAAAGTTTCTCTTCCACACACTAGCCCCCTGAAAACACCTCCATTGGACTCCTTTGTTATCTTCCGCGACATAGTGACATCACTATGTAACAGTTGCGCTTCTATTGGCTAGCGCTCTAACACATTGTACGTGATAGGCTAAGGTGCGGGACATCTCTAAGTGGTTGACCACACAACACCAATCACAACAGAGCCGGCCAACTAAACATTCAGACCAGACTGGGCTCTGGTTTCAGACAAGAAAAATAAAGCATGTAAACATGTCACAGTAGAAGCCCAATATACAAATATGAAACTGAAAATTAGCATAACAGAGCCCCTTCTGTTATGTAATTCACATTACAGTCAGATTTTTTAAGTAAAAAAAAAACAACAGCTAGCTTTCTGACTAAAATCATCCCCTACTAAGTGTGTAAAGCGATACAATAAAGACAATATTTCCATGTTTGCATGCATGTTGGATTAAAGGGTCACGTCTGTTGGTTGTCCAAATTTGGATCGAATTCACATAGTCATGTCTCCACGGTATATTTATCTTTTTATAAATGCCCGCTTAATTGTACAGCTTGTTTCCTCTGTAAGGTCCAGACTGTGGGGATGGGAAGAACCTTTGGAATGACTAGTGACAACATTTAGGGAAGCCAAATTACTGGTCAGCCAACTGTCCCCATGTTCTTTCAGCTGTAATGATATGCTCGGTTTGGGATATACACAGACCAGATCTGAGCCAGGGTACACTTAGACGACTGAGAGCGCCTCCTGAGCAGAGCTAAATCTGGGTAAAACTGAGAATGGGTCCCACACAAGGTATATCATTCTACATTTGCTTTTTAATCACAGGAACATGTCAGATGAAAATATGTCAGACTCAGATATTTGCGGAACAAAATGTTTCAGAAAGACATAATCATAGTGCCACACATAACGATACAGAACTTGAAAGCAGCTACATCTACTTGCATTTTGTGGTTCAAAGCTTCAAATGCATCGGCTTGAGCATATTGACATTTTGCATTTACAAATTAAGTGCACTAAAGTGTCAAAGCATATATTATTAAACCAACAGAAGATCCCAATTATATTAGACTCACACGATGAAGAAAAAGTTATTGTAGTCACACGTGTGGGAGAGTTAGAAAAATCTTTAATACCGACCCTGTCCAAATAGACAGATCAGAAAAGTTGGCGTTCAAAATATTTGTATTTGATTTTTCGATACTTTACAACTATCCTGCACATATTGCAATCAAACCTGTACTCTTTCTAATAGCCAGAAGTTGGCGACTCCACTTGTTGCAAAAAGAAGGCCAGATGAATAGAAGTCTATGAGAAAATGATTCTACATTTCACTTAATTAATTTCCTCAGTAAACATTGTCCTGTTGAGTTTATGGCCTCAATGGCTAGTTTCAAGTCTTCTTCATCACAGCATGATGTTCATTTAGTAAATGATGGTCCCACTTAATTTAATAGATGATAAAGTAGGGAAGGCTTTAGGGCGCGACAACCTTGTGATTAACAGGTCACCACACCATGATGTCCATTTTGGCTGCCTTTCAGAGTAGTTTTTTACTGCATCAAAGTTAATTGTAATTTTTGTCGCCTTCTGTTCAGCGTAAGGTTGTAATCCACAATTTTGTTACACTTCTCGATAAAAAATTACAAAATGGCGCCGGCCAAAATACTAATCTCCCTTCTTCTAAACCACAGTTGCAAAGCAAACACTGACATCATAGTTACTGACCCCCTGTCATTCAAACATCATATCATGAATTTAGCACCAAAAAAGTATTATGTTGTAGGGCAGGTCAGCATTTCACAACATTCAACAGCTTTAACAACAAGTCTTTTGTGCGTGAGCATAGCATAGTGCCACCTCTTGATTTCACTGTCATGACAGGAGAGACTGGGCAGTCAGTGTGTGTTGATTGCAGAGCTTTTGTCTGTGTGCCAGGAGTGAACGTGAGAGCGCCCAAATGTGTCAGCAAGAGGAAAACTGTAGAGAGGAAAGAGACGTAGATAGGAAGACAGAGAAAGGAAGAGGGAGGGTAGTATTTTCATTCTGCATCACAGTTATTTATCCTGCCATCTTGGCATGGGCATGATTTGTTCGTGCAGTAATTGCCCGGATGAGACTGAACAGAGATGAAAAGCCCTTTAAAGGCTCATCAGAGGAAAGACAGACTGGAACGAGCTGATGGCCAAAACAGCTCCAATTGTTTCCCCTCACCTCATTAACACTACTGCAGGCCTGCATGTTCAGCTCCTGTTTTGGGATACAATAATTAGCTTTTATGTTCTTGATCTTTTTCTTTGAGCTTCCGTCCCTGGGACAGCCTAACCTCACCCCCACTCAGGGTCTTCACATCCTCCTTCTCACTCCTTT